CCAAATTAAACTTCCCTGTGGGAAACAGACTTGGTTCAGGAGACACAATATCTCACACCATGGCTAGTTTTCCATGAGGTGTCATGTGAATCCAGTCACTGAAGACTGGTGCAAAAAGTTCACTGTTTATACACATTTCCACTTCCTTCTTCAATAATTCTTTGAAGCATCTGTCATTTCTCCAGCTGGTTTCCAGATTCTGATGTATTTATTTTTATTAATCACTGACTTTAATATATTTAGCAATATACTCCTAAAACCATCTCTTTTTGCTTGTCTTATTAGTCATTTCTGGTGTTTGCTATGAATCCTCATTTATGTGACTTCCAATTCTTTAAAAACGTACATGTCTTGCCTTCTTATAGCTTCCTTAATCTCACTGTTAGCCAGAGATTCTTTTTGCCCTGTGTATACCTAACATGCAGTATGTATTTTGTTTGAGCTTCAAATAGAAGTGTTTTTAATAACCTAAAGAACTGAATTGCCTAACTTTCCTTTTGTTTATAGAGGTTTCCTTTTTTGAAATGCAATCTAACATATTGCAATATGAAATAGAATACTGACATGGAAATATAATACTGACCTATTGGCTGTAAGAAGAGTCCTACTGGATCAGATTGAATACTTGTTTAGTCCAAAGTAGCTAGCCAGTTGTCTCTAAGAAGCCCACTTGGAAAACACAAGAGCAACAGCCCTTCATGTTTCCTAGCAACTGGTTCCAAAACATGAATTGCCTCTAAATTCTGGAGGTTCTGTGTAGTCATCAAGTCCAATAGCCGTTGATGGCTACATCCCCTAAAACTGTCTAATCTCCTTTGCAGACCAACTAAGCTAGTAATCAGTTCCAGTGGCCACAAACTCGAAAATCAGTCATGTGCTGTATAAAGTAGCATTTCTTGTTTTATGCTGATCAGCATAATTCAAATATATTCCTGGAATCAAGGACTGTGAGAAAGGGAAAAAAACTCCTGTTTTCTCTCTCTCTCTCCTCTGCATTTTCTTCTAAACCTTGTTCTTCCCCTGCTTGTTTTCTTTCTCAACAAACTGCCACATTCCCTGGCATTCATGTTAATTTTCTGCATGGGGTCAAATATAAACCAATATTTGCACCATTACATTCCATCCAATTATCTGTTTGTCAAAGACTATAACTGAAAATGATCTGCCTTCTGATTAATTTTTGCTGCAAAATGGATTGTTTTGCAAAATATATGGAAGCGCACACCCATGCACATGGGTATGATACACACACATTGTGCTCCAATTATATGTAAGATACGGGCACCCACATGGATGCATAAAGGTTGCTTTCTATGCATGTGCAGCAATATAACTATGAACCATTTTCATTAGTCAGTGGTGATTGCCAGGTTTTTTTGTTTGTTCAAATTTAAATGAATAGAGAATTTTACAATATTAATTGTGGTGACTTTTATTTGAAATTTTATGTTAACTCCTGTTTGCATTAAATATTTTGTTGACCCATTGAATTTTGTGATTCATACTGTAATGACCATTTACTGTAAATAATACAGTCTGACAGGCCAACAATGTCCTATTGATGAAATTGACTAGCTATATAATTAAAAAGAAAGGATTGAAACATCATAAATTAGACACATATTATGAATTATCTTAATAGAAATCAGTTTCATTAATTACTAAAACATTTTATTTTAGTATAACAAAATGAAATGCATGGCAGTAAAAGGCACACTCAAATTAATAGACTTTTCAAGCAACTTTTCATTTAACATCATCATCATCATCATTATCATCATCATCATTATTATTATAACATTTCTATGCCGCCCCTTGCCGAAACCTCGGGGCGGCTTACAACACAATAAAATACATTGAAATACAATAGTACATAATAAATTACCATTAAATAAAAAAAATACAAAAAATACATTGATTTACAAATATAAAATTAAAATTATCAGTATAAAATAAGTAAATAAAAATATAGGAGGAGAAAGAGAAGGAAGAAGAAGTTGCCCTGGCCAGATCATATGTTTTAACAATTGAAATGATGCTTAAATAAAAAGGTCTTTACCTGGCGCCGAAAAACCAGTAACGACGGTGCCAGGCGGACCTCTTTGGGGAGTGAATTCCATAGGTTGGGTGCACCGCAGAGAAAGCCCTCCTCCGAGTACTTACTCTCCTAATTTCTTTCATGGAGGGTTCCCGGAGAAGGGACTCTCCCGCAGATCTCAAAGGGCGGTCGGGCATATACGGACATAAGCGCTCGTTCAGGTAGCCAGGACCCAAGCCGTTTAGGGCTTTATAGGTCATAATCAACACCTTGAATTGGGCCCGGGCTTCAATGGGAAGCCAGTGAAGCTGACGGAGGACTGGAGTCATGTGAGCGTAACGCCCCGTCCCCGTCAGCAACCTGGCAGCTCTATTTTGCACCAATTGAAGTGTTCGGACTGTCTTCAGGGGAAGCCCCACGTAAAGCGCGTTACAGAAGTCTAGGCGGGAAGTCACCAGCGTGTGTGTCACTGTCGCCAGGCAGTCGTACTCCAGGTAGGGGCGCAGTTGATTAATCAGCCGAAGCTGAAGGAAGGCGTTCCTCACCACCGCTGTCACCTGAGCTTCCAAAGAAAGCTCCGGGTCGAGGAGTACTCCTAAGTTGCGGACCTTATCCCTAAGAGGGAGTGTTGCACCATTCAGGACCAGGTGAAATCCACCCTCTCCGAAACCCGATCCGCCAACCAACAGGACCTCCGTCTTGTCTGGGTTGAGTTTCAGTTTATTGGCCCTCATCCATTCCCTTACCTCGGCCAAGCACCGGTTCAGCACAGCCACTGCCTCACCTGGATTAGTGGAAAACGAGAGGTAAAGCTGGGTATCATCAGCGTATTGATGATTCCGCAGCCCACACCTCCTGATGACCTCTCCCAGCGGTTTCATATAGATGTTAAATAGCAGAGGGGATAGAATGGAGCCCTGTGGTACTCCATGGCATAGCTGCCATGACGTAGAGACATGGTCCCCCAGCACTACCTTCTGGAATCGACCGTTGAGATAGGAGCGGAACCACTGCAAAGCAGTGCCTCCAACCCCCAATCCCGCAAGTCTATCCAGAAGGATACCATGGTCGATGGTATCGAAATTGCCGAGAGGTCCAGAAGAACCAACAGGGATGTACTCCCCCTGTCCTTCTCCCTGCACAGGTTGTCGTACAGGGCGACCAAGGCAGATTCAGTACTGTACCCGGGTCTGAAGCTGGACTGAAAAGGATCCAGATAATCAGTTTCATCCAAGAGTGCTTGGAGTTGTCCCGCCACCACTCGCTCCAACACCTTGCCCAGAAATGGGATGTTGGCCACAGGTCTATAGTTAGTGGCCATCTCTGGATCCAGGGATGCTTTCTTCAGGACCGGTCGTATTACTGCCTCCTTTAAAGGGGCAGGCACTCGACCCTCCCTCAGAGAAGCGTTAACCACTTCCAAGATCCAGGTCCCAATCCCGTGCTTGGAGTTATTTATTAACCAAGACGGGCAAGGATCCAATAGGCAAGTGGTGGGACGTACTTGTCCAAGCACCTTGTCCACATCATCGGGCCGCAATAATTGAAATTCCTCCAATAATTTTGGACCAGACGGTAGCATTGGCGACTCCTGAGACCTCTGATTCATTAGTGGAGTCCAGCTCGTGACGAATCTGAGCGATTTTCTCCCTGAAATGCCTGGCAAAGTCGTCACAGCGGGCCTTTGAGGGTGGCATCGGATCTTCCTTAGGACCCGGGCGAACCAGGCCTTGCACCACTCGAAAAAGCTCCGCCGGACGGCATTGTGAGGAGGCAATGGAAGCAGAAAAAAACTTCTTTTTCGCCGCCTTCACCGCCACAGCATAGGCCCGATAGTGGGCTCTCAAGTGCGTTCGGTCGGATTCATTCCGTGATTTCCTCCACCTACGCTCTAGCCGTCTCCCAACTCGCTTCATTGCCCGCAATTCAGGTGTATACCAAGGGGAAGAGCGGACTCTGCCCGGTGGGAGAGGACGCTTGGGAGCGATCGTGTCCACAGCCCTGGTCATCTCTCCGTTCCACAGTTCGACCAGAGCCTCGACAGGAGCACCAGTCTTGTCAGCCGGAAACTCCCCCAGGGCCTTCAGGAATCCATCCAGATCCATCTGGCTCCGGGGGCGGGCCCATACAATCGGGTCCGCACTCTTATAGAGGGAGAGGCCGCTCTCGAGCACAAACCTCACCAGGAGGTGATCTGACCATGACAGGGGAGTCAAACATAAGTTCCTCACCCTCAGGTCATCCTCTTCCTGCCCCGTCGTGAATACCAGGTCCAGAGTGTGTCCACGTTCATGGGTCGGGCCGATGACGTGTTGAGACAGGCCCATGGCCGTCATAGAGGCCATGAAGTCCTGAGCCGCCCTGGTCAGTCCAGACTCAGCATGGAGATTGAAGTCCCCCAGGACCAACATCCTGGGGGTCCTCAACATCAGGTCCAAGACCGTCTCCGTCAGCTCAGGTAGGGAGACTGTTGGGCAGAAGGGTGCACGGTACACCAATAGAATCCCCAATCTGTCTCGTTCGCCCAACACCAAGTAGAGGCACTCCAGCCCTGGTCTCAAAGGGACTGGAAGACCCGTGAGAGAGATGGAGGCTCTGTAAACCAACGCGACTCCCCCTCCCCTCCCTTCTGGGTGTGAACAGTGTTGAACCAGGTACCCGGGCAGGCACAATTGGGAGAGGGCAACATCCCCTCCCTCTCCCGCCCAGGTCTCCGTAATGCAAGCCAGGTCGGCCTCCTCATCCACAATCAAGTCATGGATGAGGGAAGATTTATTATTGACCGACCTGGCATTGAGCAGCAGTACCGTCAGTACATTGTGCTGAATACATTTAAAACTGTGATCCAGTTTCCTGACAGTAGGACATCTCTTGCATCTTACATCTTGTCAACACTCAGAGTTAAGCTGAGCATTGCCTGCCCTCTAGAGTCAGCTGTACAGCAGTGTATTTTAAAACATAATTGTTATTGTATAGATGTATTGGATAAATAGAGATACCCAAACAAATAAGCAAGATTGCTATGAAAGAACATTTACATAATTGCCTCGACTTTTTTCTTTAGGTATACAATCTTCTAGGACCACAATAAGAGACTTTGGCTTGTGTCTGCAATGTCACCAAAAAACTGCTCCCTTCACCTCAGAGCACAGGAACTTAATTTTCACTGTAGTTCTAAGAGAACTCTTGTGATGCATATTAACTTCTTCAAACAGTTCTGACGAAGCAGCGTAGAAATGTGTCCAGTAAGTAAGTAAGTAAGTAAGTAAGTAAGTAAGTAAGTAAATGCCATGGCAGTTTAGTTATTCCCTTTTTTTTCCTCTATGGATCAGTTGAACTAATTGCCTGAGTTGATTATTCCAATGTAGATTCATTGCCCTCCTCATGCTTTCAGTCTTGATTTTGAAACATTTTTTCATAAAATTCCAACTCTTTGTGAGATAATGATGCCTTTACGGTCTCCAGTGATTTTTCAAAATGCTTTTGTTTCACGGTTGTAGCTTCAACTTTATTTTCTTGCAATGCCAACAAAGCAGCCTTAGAGATGGGTGAAAACACCTTCTGTTAGTTAAATGTGGTAACATCGTATAGTATGCACTAGTTACACACACACGCGCGCACACACGCACACACACACGCGGTTCTTGGTCATGCTGGATGCCGTACGTAACAGCGAAGTTGAACCACAGGGCAAAGTTCCAATCCAGCCCTCTGGATTTCCCTAGACGGCCACCTCCAGTTCCCTCCAATCATAGTTTCCTTGCTTTTGTGCAATGGTCTCCCCATTTTGAAAGGTTGAACTGCATCACCAATTTTAGTTACTAGTAATAAGTGATTTAAGCTAAAAGATACAGGCATTTGTATTTTGGCTGCAGCCTCTTTTGCCTTTTACCAAGCCCCTCAGAGCTTCTCCAAACAGGAATTACGCCATCAGACTGAAAGATGTTCTGTCACAGCCCTGTTATGCAGAGTGCACACATTTCAGAAACCCAACATGCTAACATATTTTCCCCTGCAATAGAAGAGACATGCAAAAGATTCATAGTTCTCATCCCTGTTCTCCTTCTCCCGTACAAAACAGGAACAACCATCTTTGCTAAGTAGCTCAATAGGGCATGTAATGAAAAAGATATTATTTCCACTGAAATAATCTTGCTAAAAAGTATTGTATCTACCGCTGGCATGATTCTGCAGGATCTTCTAAGATAAAGGAATATTGGAACTCTTTGGTTGGGAGCCATTCCAAGGTACCCTGCCAACATGTATCACTACAGATAGTGGTGACCCTTTATTGTTCACAATGCCACTTCCCACATCCTAGAAGTGCCCAAGAATTAGACTAGAAGTAGTTGTATGATTCTTAGCTGATGAGGGATATGTGGTGTGATAATCTATCTGTCAGAAAAGGATCACAGAGATTCAGAATCAAATCCAAGCCCTACCATGAAGCTCACTGGGTGACCTTCATATTCATCATATTTTAGTATTACTGAAATCACAAAGTTGCAGCAAAGAGGAGAGGAAACCCATGAATATCCACTGAGCTCCTTGGAAGTATGCATAAAAATGTAGACATTTGATTTGAAGCTAGAAAGGAAGGATGGGGGGGAAGATGCCATAACTTCTTCCTGAGTGTCTTAGAATTAGCTGGAATTACGCATCCTTAATTTATACCATGTGCTAAATTATTCAAAGGAGTCATTTAAAGAATCCAGTTTATCCTATCTAGTGAAAATACTCACTATGTGATGATCTTTTACTCCAAAATATAATATTCAACATGAATTGGGAAAAACATTGTGGAAAATTCTCCCATGTTTATCTTAAATCTTAAACCCATTAATGAAAAAGTAACAACAAAAGCCTTACCTCTTTACAGAGATTTTCAAGATCAGCTCCAGAGAACAGATTAGCTTTTGTTGCTATATCCTCTAGGCATACATCAGAATCGATAGGAATTCTTTCAGTGCAGATTTTCAAAACAGAAAGCTTTCCCTGTTGTAGAATGCAAAAGAAAGGGGCATGTTTGTAGTGTTAAATATTGGTTTGGCTTTAGGTGTGAATGTGGACAGTACTACATGTGTTCAGACATAATCACCAATGGTTTGTAAAACTAACCTATGGTAGGTTTGTACACTATGATTTATGAAAGGCTGCAAAACTAGGATCTCAAACCATGGTTTAAAACTGATTTGCAAACTATAGCTTGTGCTAATTCCCTTGCCCCCCAAAGGTTATTGCAGCATTGAAATAAGAGTGACCTTATGAAGCAGATGGAAAAGAAAACAAATAAGCAGTTCCAAAGTATGGTCTGCCTACTGCTTATCTATAAGCTGAAATCCTAATGAGGGTTATTATAAATTGTGTTTTTGACCATGTCTAAATTGAGCCACACTATTATAACACAATGTTCTTTGCTAAAAACGGAATGCTCGAATTACCGGTTCTTTTGGTTCAAAGCTCACCTATGGATTTACGTCATACCTTTTGATCAGGAGGTGGTACATAGATGACCTTGTCTAATCTCCCAGGGCGCATTAAAGCATTGTCCAACATGTCTGGTCTATTTGTTGCAGCAACAACAACAACATCTTTATTAAAAACCTCCTGAAGTTCCAACTAGCAATTTGAGAGAAATGAAAGGATGAGAGAATAATCACTCCAGCAGGCAATTTATATCCAATTTCCCCCCAAAATTGTAAGCAGCTGAAGAGTAGCCCACCAATATGCCTGACGTATCAGGTCAACAATGAAAAGGATGACTCACAAAAGCCTGATGCAGTGACATACTGCAGTACTGCAGAAAGCAATTCACTGATATATCTGGAACTCTTCAGAAATGATACCTAGGCTGGGTTAATCATTACTGGCAACATGCATATTACATCATTTAGCGCATTTTTATTATAATAGGAAGAAAAGCAAACACATGGACCCAAAGCCATGCATTTACAACATTTCTTCGATTTATTGTTATACTTTATTTAACACAGCTGTTTTGTGGTTGTACAGCAAGACCTGCAATATTATCTTGGTAACAGAAAGACAGGAACACTGCCTTAACCATGGTGGGTGAATCTATTAGCCATGGCTTGATGCTACAAACTTTGAAATGGAAATCTTTTTCAAACCATGGTGTCACAAACTGGTTTGCAGACAATTCTTAACCCAGGTCAGTTAAGAGTATGGTAGCTATTTGGTGTACGGCTTTGTTCTTAGGCAAATTCAGAATAGATACCTCTTTATCGCTTTCAGCTTGTTCTTGACTGTCACCTTCCAGTTCTGTTTTGCTTCCTCTTCTCTCAGTTAACTTTAGGCCAACACCATCCAGTTCATTCAGAAGGACAGAAAGAACCCTCTCCTGCACACCATGCCCAGTTTTACTGACTGATCGTGAACCTAAGATAGCATCAATTTCATCTAAGAATACTATTGCAGGAGTATTTGCTCTTGCTTGACGGAATACCTTGAAGCATAAAAAAGTGAAAATGTACACATCTATCTACATAATGTATGTCAAATGCACACCCCCCAACCACAAATATGTTTTGTCTCAAATCTTTAATGAAGTCAAAATAATTTTTAAAATTCCAATGAAGACTAACTCTTTGCCCTTAAGAGAGCCACATTTTAGCTATATCCACTCTGCCAATTACAGATACTCAGAGAATCTTGAAAATGTTTAAATAGCACAATTTAGCATTAGATCACAAGGTACTTTAATTTAACATTCCTTGAATGAAGTTGCAATATTTAAAGATCACAGGTATAGCTCTTAAAAATGAATCCATATGTATGATCATAGAGATACAGGCTGTATTTGAACATAACAACAAACCTGACTTCCTGTGACTGAGCAGTGTGGTAGTCCATGCAGCCATTCCTTTCCACCTTTGGTAGGTGGCTAAAACTAATCAGGAAGGATGAACTTATGTCTGAACTAGGTTCTTCATTAGTTGCTTCCAAACAAGCCAGCTTTTTAGTGCTTTAAAAGCACCAAACCAGCTTTGAATGTCATATAAAGTGATCCCTACCCATCCATGCAGAAGGAGAAACAAACAGGTTGCATGTACCAGCACAGCAGTCATCCACAGTTCGCAAGAGATCTTGGCTAATATTATGTGAGAATGGCCTGTTGGCTGAGATGCACATCAGTCTAATTATCCTGATTTTATTAGACAAAAAATTTTGTGCCTGAGCATAATTTCTCTCCTTGTCTTGCACACCAAAATTGATGACCTTCTAGGGTCTGTTAAATTAGTTTCCTGTTAAATGCAAATTAATAAACACTGTATTAATCTTAAACTACAAACAAGGATATAAAGCCAGGAACAGATCATGGATTATTACACTAACACTGTTATGAATCAGTTATCATTTGTTTGTATGTCAGTCCCAATGACTTTTGATTATAAGGATGAAAATCAAACCTGAGACAAAATCTTCTCTGAGTCTCCAACATAGGGTGAGAAAAGGTCAGCGCCGCTCACAGTCAGAAAGGAACAATGGCAGCTTGTGGCAGCTGCTTTGACAAGCATGGTCTTGGCGCAGCCAGATGGTCCGTACAAAAGGGCTCCCTTTGGACGGGCCAGTCCCATTCTTACAAATGCCTCTGGGAATTTTATAGGCCATTCGATGCACTGCACATACAAAAAGGAACATTAATTTCCATTAATTCCTCTTGTTATTTCGTCATATCATCCAACACATCTTCAGGCCATCGCACTGATTCCTGGGCCCATGATCTCATCTGTTACCCAACTATGGCATAAGCAGACCATAGTTCCCCATAATTTGGATATAATCCATACATATGGTTGTTCTAAAGTGAAAGCTGAGGCTTTCACATGTTCTTGGCATATCAAGGAAAAGGCAAGAAAGGAAATGCAGAAGCCACATGGCTGCCACAGTTCATTTGCAATTTCTAAACCATGGTGTAAGTGGATTTCTGAATCAAGCTGCTATCACAGTTTATCTTGCTTATCCCAATGTACTGCCATCTGGGCTACTTTTAAGAATAGTCCACAAACTGTGATAAGTAAAGTGGTACTTGCATCATTATATTTAATCTAGATGCAGTTGACCTTTAAGATTTACCTGTTGTAACTTTAATTTCACATCTTCAAGACCACCGATCTGGTCCCAGGTGACTGGCTTGAAGTCCATCAGCCCAACCCCGCTTCGAAAAGAGGATGGATGAATCTTTCTCAATGCTTCGTAGAAGTCAGACATATAAATGGTGTTCACAGAATCCTGAAGAAATGTATAGATAAGTTGAATAGTTTTGTTTGCTTTTATTGCCCAAATCCTAAAGCTACACAATACACTGGGATGACTATGGGTTGTTCAGCCCACCGTGTGCCTCAGTGTATGCTAGGAACATGTGAACATCAGCATGAATGAGTTACCTAATGTCATCCAAACCCAGCCACAATGGGTTTTTCAAGGATTAGTAACACACAGTTTGTAGTAAGTTAAGGGATTGGTTGTTTAACTCTCCAATATCCCCTGGTGGCTGGGTTTAGACAATGCTCCTCAATAGGAGTTGCACATTCATCATAGCAGCTGCATGCACTTGGAATGCACTGTGACACTTTGAGGCTTACACAACCCCTGGCGAGTCTGGTGGGCAAACCTGGTCTTGAGGTTGTGAGCAACTCTGTTAATGAACTATCAATTCATAAATATCTGGTTCCCTGAATTAAGTTTTATAGAGATCTGTATATCTGCTGGCATAACAGAAGCTTGTGTTAACATAGCTATAGAATAGTCTGATAAAGCAACTGGGATGTGTCTCCTGATAGGCTGCCTATGAGGATTATTAGCAACATGCCTATTATTATGAGTGGAAGGTGGTAGTTGAGCAAGGACCTGTATACCAAAGGCAACTGAGTGAGAGGAGGGTGCTCTGTGTTTCTGTGGATATAACGATGTGCTGTGACTCTTCCCAGAGAAATCCCTGTCAGAGAAAACTGGGTCACCCAGTATTACATTGGATCAGATTTTTTTCTGCTTGTAGAAGTGCATTTCAGTGCATCCATTTACTGATATGGCAGAAAGCAAAAGGCAGTAAGGTGATGCTAACCCTGTTTCCACTGATCAGATTTACTTCCAAATAGTCTCCACAACTGGGGACTGTTCACTTCCCCCAGATTAAATGTGAATGCTGAAGCACTGTGCGACCATATAGATGGACTGGTGTAAAGCCAGTAGGATGAAGATGCCAAGCCGTTAGGCACAAAGCAGAAAAGTCTGGGTGGGAAAAGAAACAACACAGGACAAGAGTTGCAGGGTAGAGTGTGAACTGGATGATTACCGAATTGACACGAAACACCGCCTGCATCGCAGCCTCTCGGCAAAGCGCTGTGAGGTCAGCTCCCACATATCCAGTTGTTCTTTCTGCAAGTTCTGGCAAATTCACATCATTTGATAGAGGCATGCTGTCAGTGATCAACTGCAGAATAGATTTCCTCTGTTTAAGGGTTGGTGTCCCAATGATCACCTCAAACAAAGAAACAAAGAATAGAAATGTAAGTATCCTGACAACATGTAATTGCTTGCTTCCACCCTAGGCAAGTTGGGCTTTACATCTGAACAAGGTCTTACTAAGGCTTATTCTGACTGTCAGGACTCAGTGCTGGGCGTCTCTCAGCATATTCAGAATACCTTTCTCCCACATTTTCTGCACAGAAGGAATAACTTCTAAGAAAGCTGATCTCCATAGAACTTAAAATGATCCCCATAGTCACTGTAAGATGAAGGTCTTGTACAGAGTGGGGACTGCATAGCATATTAGAATCATTGCAGTTTTTTAAGGAAAAAACAACAGCCCACACCACAACTGCCAAAAATTACCATACATTTATTTGGTGCTTTATCTATTGCTGTGATGTTGCAATCAAAAATACATTTTTGAGCAATTTATTACAGGCCACTTAGGTTTATGGATGGTCTGTAAATTCTTTGATCCCATTTAAGTGGATCAAAAAATTTTTTGTGATGGTGGTGGCAAAAGAATCGATTGCTCTTTTCCTCGCACAAAAGGCTGGTTTATCAGGAGATATTACATGCTAATATTCTTAATACAACATGGTTTCATATCAAGTTTGACTGTCAGGCCGTAAACGCATTGCACATCTCTATACAATTTGGTACCAGGAAAGAACTTTGGCAAATCTTCTATCTTTAGAATTCAAACTTTTACTTACTCCACACCCAGCCACAAAATTTCAAGTTAGTCTGTATGGCTCTAAAATATGATTATGCAGTATGAACAACAATAGACAAGATTTTGTCTTTAAACCAAAGATGTCAGTGACTGAACCATGGACTTCCTATATGTCAGATACGTGTCCTACTACTGAGCTATGGTTGCTTTGCTAATACCACTACCTTTGTTGTTGTTGTTAGTTGCGAAGTCGTGTCCGACCCATCGCGACCCCATGGACAACATTCCTCCAGGCCTTCCTGTCCTCTACTATCCCCCGGAGTCCACTCAAGCTCACACCGACTGCTTCAGTGACTCCATCTAGCCACCTCATCCTCTGCCGTCCCCTTCTTCTTTTGCCATCTATTGTGCCCAGCATTAGGCTCTTCTCCAAGCATTAGGTTCTTCACTACCTTAGGTGGCTTGAAAAGAAGAGTAGAGAAATCCATGATGACCGTACATAACCTCCTGGATCAGGAGTGGCATTCCCTTAAATTCCAATTACCACAAAGAAAAGAGCAGGAAAGCGCTACTGATCTCCTGTTTTGCTTGGGGTCTTGCGTGTCTGGTTGGCCACTGATGGAAACAGATCACAGGAGGAGACAGGCCTTGTGCTCTGAATCAGCACAACTTATTTCTCCAGCATGCCAGTTGCAATAACTACTCTGGAGAAGGTCGTATACTGCAAAATTAGAACAGGTTTCACACTCGTTTAACTGTTGTGACTCTCAAGCGAAAGAAACTCTTGAACTGGACTTCTAGGCATGGACAAAGTAACAAGGAAATCCCTCCCAAGGCCTGCAGCTCCATGATTTGCAAAAGCATTGACCTTTGAGGAAAGCCATAACATTGCTAACACTAACAGCAGGAGTCCCATGATTTCTAAAAAGGTAAAGGTTTCCCCTTGACATTAAGTCCAGTCATGTTTGACTCTAGGGGGCGGCGCTCATCTCCATTTCCTAGCCAAGGGAGCCAGCGTTTGTCCACAGATGGTCTCCATGGTCATGTGGCCGGCATGACTACACACCAAAGTGCACGGAACGCTGTTACCTTTCCACTGAAGTGGTACCTTTTTATCTACTTGCATTTGCATGCTTTCGAACTGCAAGGTTGGCAGGAGCTGGGACGGAGCAACGGGAACTCACCTCGTTGTGCAGATTCAAACCGGTGACCTTTCAATTAACCAGCCCCATAGCTCAGCAGTTTAAACCACTGCGCCACCTGTTTTTCCCTCTTTCTCCTGACAAAAGTGAGGCATTCGAGCCTCATCAAATGTAAAATTAAGAGACAGAAAATTAAATCACCTCATGGTCAAGTCTGCCTGGTCTCCTTAGCGCAGGGTCAAGTGCATCAGGCCTGTTGGTTGCTGCTACTATCACCATGTCATTTTCTCCACCGATGCCATCTATAAGAGTTAGCAACTGAGCCACCAGACGATTTTCTGGGGCATTGCATGAATGTCCCCGTTTCGGGCACAAGGAATCAATCTCATCAATAAAAAGAACTGTTGGTCCTTCCCTAGAGAGCTCTCTTGCTTCTTCAAATGCTTGTCGCATGTTTTCCTCACTTTCGCCAGGCCGGGAACCATAGATAACTGGGCCATTGATGCAAATCAGGCATGCACCTACTTCCCTGGTGACAGCTTTTACCAAAAGGGTCTTACCCACCCCTGGAGGTCCCACCAAAAGCATGCCTCTGGGTACAGAAAGGCCTAGCTTCTGGAAAGTTTTTGGAAAGCGTAATGGCAAATCAATGATCTCTTTTAGGGAGCTGCGAATATCCTCCATTCCTGCTACTGTGGGTGTTACACTGTTCTCCACTGAACGATTGTACCAGTCCAGCGTGACAGCCTCTTCAACAATTACACTGGTTTTAGGGGTGACCAAGCCAGCTTCTTCCACAGTGGCAGGCTCTGTGGATAATATTTCAACGCAGGCCACTGGATTGCCCAGAACTGGGCCAAATGTCACAACATGATGAAGAGAGACGCATGTGTTTCTCAGTAGCTCTTTGATTATATCCTGCAACATGGAAGCTGGAGTTGATTTTTTCAAAGCACGGTTTTTAAAAACAACTTTGACCATCACTCTCCTTAGCCTGTGACAGGTCAGCAGCTTCAAGCAATCGATGCTCACGGTGAGATTTCGCAGCTGGCTCTCCCTTAAGCCCTGGGTTCTGCATTTGAGATCGAGCTGCAGGTAGCCATCAGCCAAATCATGCCTTGGCCAAGCTGTACAAAGGCAACTGCCAGCAGGCAGGATGATCCTAATGGTGGACCCCAGCGTGGCACCCACAGAGGAAAAAGCAGCAGGGCCGAGTCTGCACCTCTGGGTGCCTTCATCTTCAGGCTCTTGAAGCAACAGCTTTAATAAAGCCATCTTAAGAGCCAATCCCAGAGCCACAAGCCAGACATGCAGTTGATTTACAGAACACCTTAAAACAAATAACAAAAGAAAGAAATGTTACTCTATTTAAAATTATTTCAAACATGCAACATATACTATATATATATATATATGCAAGATAAACTATAAAGTACAAACAGGCAATAAATAAACAATAAAGCACTGTTACAAAATTATAAAAACAGATAACATCAATGAAACAGGCAGGGAAAAAACAAATGAGACTTCAAAGCCTTCCTGAAGACCTGCAAAGAAGGGGCTGATTAAGCCCTGATATATGCTAACTGCAGAGGAGTGAGGCCACCACTGAAAAGGCCTTACCTTGTATTCACCAGGTTAACTACTCTTGGTGGCAGTGAATGAGAAGGGCCTATTTTGATGACAGAGTATGCACAAGCTAGTAGGGGAGAAAGGAATCCTGCAAGGATGCACCTTCTCCACGCAGTGCATTGACAGTACTGGATTAGATATACAAATAGTTTGATAGGGGATCAGGCAGTGCAGCTTTCCAAATCTGAGCTGTAAAGACATGAAAGCTATCTCCCCTGCTCCCTGCAAAAATCCCGAACAGGTAAGGTAAACAGAAAAGAAAAACGTTCAGGTAAGGTCCAAGGAAACTACATCTAAAACATAAGAACACGAGAAAAATTGAGCTGGATCTGACCAAAGGTCTGTCTAGTCCAGCGTTCAATCGATGCAGTGACCAAACCAGCAAACCGCAGAAAACTCAAAAGCAAGGCATGAGTGCAAAGCACCCTCTGCCCATGCTCCCCAACGACCCGTGCACCTTGGCATACTACCTCTGATTTGAAGATTGTGCCATGACTACATGCTAGCCTTCTCCGGAATGGTTCCATCCAAACGGGTCTACTACATGTCCCAGCCAACACAGCGCAAGATGGGGGTGATGGGAGTTGCAGTCCCACCCATACGTGCAAGTCTGCCATGCAATTATGAAACAGCCGCACCATCGCCAACATTGCCTAGTTTTACTTCTAGCAGTGTTATTCAAAAGCCTTCCTCTCCCTCTTCCAACGTGCTACAGCCCTGCTCACCAAAGCCAACTTCGGGATAATCTTAGACTTGCCGACTCAGAAGTAAGTGAGGCTTATTCCCGTGTAATACTCACCATGCACGAGGACTTTGGCAGGGCAGCCAAATTTCCTTTCTCTTCTGCAGGCAGGAAAAGCAGAAAAGCGGAAGGGTCCTGAGTGTCTCCAAAAGCCGAGTTTGTCAGCAGCCCGATGCAGTAATTGGTTAGCAGTACAGCCAATCAACCAAAGAAACAGTATTTGCGTGAACCTTGTGAGAGTGGTTTTTTCCTCTGGTCCAATCGGAAGCAGGAGGGGGGATACTGCCACGAATCGCTAAGAGAAGAAGAGGCGGGATCAGGCTTCTGATTGGGTTTCGTTCTGAGATAGGTGGGGGGGGAGTTGCGAAGATCATAATTCGCTTGCTAGAGAATAGCAAGGGAGTTGCTTTGTTAATTAACAGCACTCTGTTAATAGGGAGCTGTACGCCGTTCCTAGTGGACTCAGGGGGACTGATTTCTGAGTTAACTAAGTAATGATAATGCCGATAACGACAATAACAAACAGACAATACTTTGCGGTCATTTTTGATAGCAATAAGTTTTGCACAAGAGTCTCCCTTGTCATTCCTTCTGAAGCTGCCTATACACAACTGGTATTTTATGCTCCTGCTGCTGCTGACATGGACAGTCATAGCAAAGATGCTGTTAGTTACAGTGCTATTTTTCTTGATGTATAATCCGCTGTAAAGATCTATACTCCACAGGAACCTGGAACCTGGATGGGTGCCCGACCCATTGCGACCCCATGGACAACACTCCTCCAGGCCTTCCTGTCCTCCACCATCCCCCGGAGTCCACTCAAGCTCACGCCAACTGCTTCAGTGACTCCATCCAGCCACCTCATCCTCTGCCGCCTCCTTCTTCTTTTGCCATCTATTGTTCCCAGCATTAGGCTCTTCTCCAGGGAGTCCTTCCTTCTCATTAGATGGCCAAAGTATTTGAGTTTCATCTTCAGTGTCTGGCCTTCTAAAGAGCAGTCAGGGTTGATCTCCTCTGGGACTGACCGGTTTGATTGCCTTGCAGTCCAAGGGACTCGCAGGAGTCCCCTCCAGCACCACAATTCAAAGGCCTCAATCCTTTGGCGCTCAGCCTTCCTTATGGTCCAGCTTTCACAGCCATACATTGCAATTGAGAAAACCATAGCCTTGACCATAGTCTTTAGTTCCTCTTCGCTTTCTGCCATGAGAGTGGTATCATCTGCATATCTGAGGTTGTTGATATTTCTCCCAGCAATCTTAATTCCAACTAGTGTTTCATCTAGCCCCTCCTTTCTCATGATGTGCTCTGCGTATAAGTTAAATAGGCAGGGCGACAGTATACAGCCTTGCCGAACTCCTTTCTCAATTTTGAACCAATCAGTGGTTCCGTGTCCAGTTCTCACTGTTGCTTCTTGACCCACATATAGGTTTCTCAAGAGACAAATAAGATGGTCTAGTACTCCCATCTCTTTAAGAACTTGCCCCAATTTGTTGTGATTCACACAATCAAAGGCTTTAGCATAGTCAATGAAGCAGAAGTAGATGTTTTTCTGGAACTCCCTAGCTTTCTCCATGATCCAGCGTGTGTTGGCAATTTGATCTCTAGTTCCTCTCCCTCTTCGAAATCCTGCCTGTACTTCTGGTAGTTCTTGCTCCACACATACTGCTGGAGCCTAGCTTGTAGGATTTTGAGCATCACTTTGCTAGCATGTGAAATGAGTGCAATGGTGCGGTAGTTTGTGAACATTCTTTGGCATTGCCCTTCTTTGGGATCAGAATGTAAACTGACCTTTTCCAATCCTGTGGCCACTGTTGAGTTTTCCAAATTTGCTGGCATATTGAGTGTAGCACTTTTACTGCATTGTCTTTTAAGATTTTGAATAGCTCAGCTGGAATACTGTCACCTCTACTAGCTTTGTTGTTGCTCAGACTTCCTAAGGCCCATTTGACTTCATACTCCAGGATGTCTGGATTGAGGTCAGTGACCACCCCATCGTGGTTATCAGGGATGTTAAGCTCTTTCTTGTATAGTTCTTCTGTGTAATCTTGCCACCTCTTCTGCCTTTGTTAGGTCCCTGCCATTTTGGTCCTTTATCATGCCCATCTTTGCATGAAACGTTCCCTTCCTATCTCCAATTTTCTTGAAGACATCTCTGGTCCTCCCTATTCTATTGTTTTCTTCCATTTCTTTGCAATGCTCATTTAAGAAGGCATTCTTATCTCTTCTAGCTATTCTCTGGAATTCTGCATTCAATTGGGTGTATTTCTCTCTTTCTCCCTTGCCTTTTGCTTCCCTTCTTTCCTCAGCTATTTGTAAAGCTTCCTCAGACAGCCATTTTGCTTTCTTGCATTTCTTTTTCTTTGGGATGGCTTTAGTTGCCACCTCTTGTACAATGTTGCGAACCTCTGTCCATAGTTCTCCAGGCACACTGTCTATCAGATCTAATTCCTTAAATCTATTTGTCACCTCTACTGTATATTCATCAGGAATATGATTTAGGTCATACCTGAGTGGCCTAGTGCTTTTCCCCACTTTCTTCAATTTAAGCCTAAATTTTGCAACAAGAAGCTCATGATCTGAGCCACAGTCAGCCCCTGGTCTAGTTTTTACTGACTGTATAGAGCTTATCCATCTTTGGCTGCAGAGCGCATAGTCAATCTGATTTCTGTGTTGACCGTCTGGTGATGTCCATGTGTACAGTCATCTCTTGGGTTGTTGGAAAAGAGTGTTTGCTATGACCATTGTATTCTCTTGACAAAATTCTACCAGCCTGTGCCCTGCTTCATTTTGTACTCCAAGGCCAAACTTGCATATTATTCCAGTTATCCTTTGGCTTCCTACTTTAGCATTCCAATCCCCCATGATGATAAGAACATCATTTTTTGGTGTCAATTCTAGAAGGTGTTGTAGGCCTTCATAGAACCGGTCAACTTCAGCCTCTTCAGTACCCGTGGTTGGGGCATAGACTTGGACTACTGTGATGTTGAATGGTTTGCCTTGGATTTGAACTGAGATCATTCTGTCATTTTGAAGACATTTTGTATCCCAGTATTGCTTTTCCTACTCTTTTATTGACTATGAAGGCTACTCCATTTCTTCTGAGGGATTCTTGCCCACAGTAGCATACCTGATGGTCATCTGAATTAAATTCACCCATTCCTGTTCATTTTAGTTCACTGATTCCTAAGATGTTGATGTTCAGTCTTGTCATCTCTTGTTTGACCAGGTCCAGCTTGCCTTGATTCATGGATCTTACATTCCAGGTTCCTATGGAGTGTAGATCTTTGCAGCACCGGACTCTCCTTTCACCACCAGATACATGGGCATGTTATCCTATCACAAATTTGAACCTGCCTGTCAAGACCCAAGGCAGCTTCAGGGCTCCCTCTGCTAGCCAAGGAACAGCGGAGGAGCTCTGGTAGTTGCAGGATTCTGTCCTCATCCCACTGCAGCTGCCAGGGCTCTCGTGAGTTCCACCTGGGGAGCCCTGGGGAAGAGCTATATAAGAACCAGCTCTTCCCCTCAGAAGCTGCTTTAGTAACAAAGGTCTCCTGATGTTGGTGAAGCCTTTCCTGGTCTGTTAGACCTGAAACTGCTCCAGCGTCCTGCCTGCACCTCTTCTCTCCCTGACTGGTCTGCCTTCCTCGGTTCTCTGACCCTTGGCCTGCTTTGGACTACGCTGTCCATCTTTACAGACTTGCCTAGTATATCAGCTTCCTGCTTGACCTTGAACTGTGTAGTGGACTTGCTCTTGCCACACCCTGTCTGCTTGGGTCCTGGCGCCTTTACCCTATTAGTCAGCCGTCCTTGCCTGGACACTGACAGTGCCCTTTATTGAAGATAATCTTAAAATGGCTCTTCACTGAGGCTGGTGGGCACTAAAGATAGGATCTTCTCAGTGGCTGTGCCTATCCTATGGCATTTGCTCCCATATACTATATGTCTGGCACCATTTGGGGTTGTGCCTTCCACATAATGAATGAGGTGCTTGGTTAAACCTTAATTTTAACTTGCCAAACAAACACACTGGGGAAGGTTGAACCAGTGGGTGCCCGTGCCAGAACTCCGTATTGAACTCAGACCAAAGCTGTGTCTGGTCTGGCATTCTGTTTCCAGAACCAACCAGTAGAACATGAAAATTGTTATCTGTTTGCTTCTTATGTATACTGTCTTTCACTGTGGAAGCTCTTTCACCTTTAGACACTATAACCAGTAACTATTGCTTGATTTATCCTGCTTGAATTTGCCTAATATTTATTAAAATACAATAAATATTCTTTATTAATAATAAATATAATATATATTTAATATTAAATATTTATTACAATTTATTTAATATTTATTAAAAACCACTAAAAATTGCAGCCATCATCCAGCCATCTTGTATTATCAAACTGCTAGAAGTGCTCTGAATTGCCACTAGATGGCAGCTGAACATCAGTGTTAAATATTTATCTCACTAGCCTGAACTTGGAGAGGGGTTTTTTTTTTATATTGAAGAATAAAATCTAATCCAGCATTCCTCTTGTTTCACAATGCCGTGTTTCAAATGAACTAAATGTAATGCAGCAAATTCTCCAGTCATATTCAAGACCCCCCACATTTCAGCTTCATAAAAGTTTATTGTAGGTTTGTTTTGTACACGCGCATTACACTGGAGCTGGAGATACACTGCAGTCATGCAGGAGGAACACCTGCTCTGTCTAATGCATGCCCAGCTAAGGACGGGAAGGGTAAAGCGCAAGTAAAAATGTCAAGAGTGGTGCAAAATTGGCAGCCTACCAGTCAGTGGTGCAACTAGATAATTTGTCGCTCAGGACTTAATGTTCTTCTGGGGACCTCCTTTGGATGGCCGTGCATTTTTGTAGTGAAGTATACAACAATTTTTCTGTTTTTCTCCATCACCATCACCATCACCACTCTACATTTTACAACTTTATATATTAGAATGTTTGCCTATATATGCACATATGAGCACGTGCAATTTTGCATTTTAAGGATGGAATCCTATGCATATTAAACCGGAAAAAAGACCTATGTCTCCCCAGTATTCCCCAGTTAACATAGAGTTTGAAGACTCTTTTCCAAGTATGGCAAGCCATGAGGCCTAATATACTC